GAAGTACTTGAAGATAATGTAAAATATTTACATTATCAACACCCAACACACTATTATTAAACACAACATCAATACTAACTTCAAAACATATATACACAATAAACTATCAAGCAGGATAACAGATAAATATATTTCTCATCTATAACGGTATTCTCAAAAACACAACATTAAATCTTCATCAATGAATATATAAGCAGTGATTAAAAAAGGTATATCTTGGCAACTATTCACCAACCACGGGCAGTAGTGTGAGTACGATATTTTGGCGGATAGGAGATTTGGAATTTTAATCAATCTCCACTGACACATAAAATAATGGTCTGCAAAAAAAGCAAAGAGAATGAGATGGAGAGCACTGATAACACAAATATTGATGTTTACCATGAATTTCAAGATTCTAAGTAATTTCACATTAACTCGGAACTGGGGGAGCGTTACTTCTCCAAGTGGGATGAAGGTTACCACCACTCTCCAACAGTAAGAGTGACAGCCCATAACATCGGCATTCTCACCAATTCATCCCTGAGTCTTGTTACAAAACCAGATATGCTTGGACCCCAGTATTGGCCTAACTCTGCTCCATGGTGATAACTATCTCTCAACCATGATTGCCTATAGAATGGACAAGTTTTACCCTGGACACATCCCAATCTACACTGATGGATCCCACACAGAGGCTGGGTCTGTCTTGGCAGATGTCTACATTCCCCAGCTTTCCTCTGCTACTGCCTGGTTGCTGTCCTCAAGTCATATGGTGATGAGTGCAAAATTATTTGCCATATTCAAGGCTTTGAAGATGCACTCAATTGGGTGGAATTAAAAAAACCATCAAGTTGTGATTTTTACAGATTTCAAAGCATCTCTGCACTTGATACTCAACACTTGGCACCCCAACTACTCAGCAGTGGTTTTCAGGATACACTCACTGCTTCTCCAGAGAGGACTGAACACTGTTGCCTTCTGCCGGGTGAGGGGTCATAGTGGGATTGCTGTAACTGTAATTTAAATGAGGTCACAGACTGGACTGCAAACCTAGCACACAGTGCAGATAGGTCCTCCTGCTCCATACTCTCTTTTGAAGAGTCTCTGAGAGCAATTTCCCAGGCCTTCAGCAGACATTGGTATGGATACTGGGTAACCCAAGTAGCTGACACTGGCTGTGGCCAACTTAGACACTACCTTGACAATAGTTTAACATATATTGACCATAGCTCCCTGGCTAAGCCACTACAATATGCTGTAGCCTACCTCCGTCATGGCCATGCTGGTGTAGCTGCTCAGCGTGCTCAATTTAGAATGGCAGCAACTGGAGTTTGTTCAGTGTCAAAGTAGTAGACAACATGGCCAATTTTTTATTATATTGTACCTGATTCACTGGTCCAAGAGCACTCTTCACGAGTACAGTGATTGCCTGGGGCTTCCTTGGGGGCTGCAGGCTGCCCTGGGAGCAAGCATCACCAACCATACCTGCAGCAATATTTAGATATTTTCATACCTGAAGCAATATTTGCTGCAATGTGGAGTGGTTGCCCTAATGAAACTTGTAATTGAAGAATCAAGTGGCCACCCTTGCTATTGATCCTCTGATGTGTTTTTTTCTGATTTTTATTTTTGCTTCTATTAATTTTTTTGCGCTTTCTTACTTTCTTTTTCTCTTTGTTCCAATCTTGCATGTTTCTCTTGTTTTTGCTAATTAATGTGATTACGGTAGTATGCATGCTGCACTTTAATGTATTGATGAAACTTTGCATGTCACTGCCATTCAGCCAGCATGGTAACTCATTTTGCATGGGCTAGCATATTCTTGGAAATTGGCATGACCAACTTGCTTTTTGGAGGTTCACACCTCTGGAGCATGTAAAAAGTCTCCTGACCTTGGGTGCTTGCTGCATCCATATTCTTGCCTAGAGCTCTCTGGCTTGGGGCTTGGCCCTTGGAAGCCTCTTCCTTTTATCCCCAACTAATGACAGATCAGGCTGGGCAGTGCATAAGCACTTGAAGCCTACAAGTCTAATTATAAAAAAACTACCCAGCCCGGGTTATTTGCTTTAACTCCCATTCAGCTCTTTTTTTTCTACTGTAGTCTCCAAGGGGCCCCCACACCAGGAGCTCCATGGTTGAAGGACACTCACTTGTTGCTTTCTGCATATGGCTCAGGAGGCTAAATGTTGAGATGAATTGTTCTTCAGTGGGTAAAACTGTGAATGCTCATTCTGGGATTGGTGGAAAAAATGAGTTAGCATACCCAGCAGCCAAATTGGGACATGAGCTTGTACTCAACCACAGCTCCGTCCATCTAGTTCAATATTTTGATCAAAGATACGGGATGAACAATTTCTAGCACATTTGCAGGCAGACTGGTGCCAATCTGTTACAGTCACTGGGAAGGGTCGTCACCCTTCAGTCAAGACTGGCTGGAGAATTGTCCTACTGCTGCAGTAAGTAATTGTCACTCAATTGACACTAACAGTTGCAATCACAGTCTACTTAGAAGTTGTGACTATTACACGCAACCTTGTTTTTGTTAATTTGAATCGTCTAATGGAATCTACAAGGAAGGTGAGTTTAGCCTGCATGCAAAAAACACAACTGTGAAACAAGGGACTGCAACCAGATTAGTGTTCCTAGTTGATACTTGATTGATGCCCTTCTTCTTGGAGCTACTTCTCATGTGTTATGAATTCTCAACAAACATAACTATGTTTATCATGAGAACAATCCATTCATATCTATGCTGATTCAGTCCATGGCTGACTTGAGTGTGTTTCGGCATCTATAATAGGCCATGGAAAATGAAACAAAAAAGATTCATCGAAATATTTATAATCCTCACATTTTATTGTACCATAAATGTAAGTCCAATATTTCAATGAAATTCCTGCCAAAGCTAACAATTTATATTTGTTCTACCATGCCCTGTGCTCACAGCCCTGAAAAGTTTGCTGTAACATATGAGAGTTTTCCTGACTTACGCTGGGCATGTATTCCAAGGCAAGTGCTCAGAGACTTGTGTATGTCGGATTTATCCTTGGAAAAACGGTACCATCCTGGGTATGGCTTGCAGCCCTAAAAGGTTTGCCATGGTGTATGACATTTTTCCTGATGTATGCCAGGCGTGTACGCCAAGTGCATAAATTTTTCCCTATGTAGGCCTAGGTGTATAGTATGCCAAGGCAAGTGCTCAGAGCCTTGTGTATGCTGGATTAATCTGCCAAAAATCACACCATCCTGGGTATGGCCTAGACATAGTCAGGAAGTATAGGGTCTATTGAGTGCATCTAAACTTCATTTCAGGAACACATCAAGATAACACGCACTGCTTGTCTGAAACTAATGCAGGTGCTTCATGCACTTGGCTCAGTGAAGTGGGGTGCCTCTAGGTGATTGTTGCACAGAATATATGTGACCTTTATAAGGAGCAAGATGGAAGATGGCTCAACAATTTTATGGCATATTTCTAAGGTTTTGTTAAAACAACTTGAAACTGTTCAAAACTCTGCCCTCCAATACATCCAGGGAGCACAGTGTACTACACCAATAGTGCCTCTGCAAGTTAAGAGCTTCATTGCACCTCTGAAATTGCGATTCTTATATCTGTTCATTAAATGGGTCATAAGGTATTGGTACATGCCTGAAGGCAACCAAGTGCCAACCATGCAGGGACTCACTGACCAAGGACTTCATGGTGGCAAACTGTTTGTCAACAGAGCTCATGAATGCTTTTGCAAGCTGGGCCTTTCACTCCCTTTGTGATCTGCAACTCCCCTGATCAGTCCAATTCCTCAAGTGGATCTCACTGCAAACATTCTTTTCAACTTGCAAAACAATCCCTTAATTAATATAACACATCAACTTATTCAGAATGGCTTTAATGATTTTCTCCTGGGACACTATCTAAGACATATTCAAATTTATATAGATGGCTTGAGGTCTGAAAATGGGTCTGTTTCAGCTGGACTTTTTGTTCCTTCAACCCAGTTGGCAACTGCTTAGTTGCTCTGGCAAGAGCACACAGTTCTTGGTGCAGAGTTTTTTGCTACACACAAGGCCATGCAACTTGCCAGCATGAATGGATCTCTGAAGGACAAGTCTGTCCTAATTCTGACTGATTCAAGGTCTGCTTTGCAGCTTTTATCCTGCTCATCTGGGCCCTCATACTGCAAAATTATCTTTGAGATGCAGAAACTGATGCTGGTGAAGAAACTGGACTGGGTGTTGCTTTGCTGGTTCAGAGGCCACAGTGGTGTTTGTTTAAATAAGGTGGCAGACAGGGTAGCAAATTTGGCACATTCTGACAACCACTCAGCAAGATCTCAGCTGTGTTTTGAGGAGTGGATCTGTTCCATGAAGTCTCTCATGGTACAAGAATGGACATGCCAATGGGCAGCTGACGTGCTAGAAACAGGCAAGGGGACCTTCCAAAGAAGTTTGGGACCAGAAATAGCCTTTGTTGACTATGGAGTGCTACCACGCTCAGTTGATTGCGCTGTGTCATGCCTGCACTTGGGACATGCTGATGTCAATGCTCATGTGGCAAGATTCAACTTGGCCAATTCAAGTAACTGTTCAATATGCAATGTGGAGGACACATTTGAACATTTCAAGCTACACTGCACACAAGTCTCCAACCAACAATAGGATTTCCCCTCAAGACTGGAAGGCCTCTCACTTCAGAGGGATCTTTCCTCAGCTCTTGGAGGTGGAGAAGCCCCTACTAGGAGACACACTGCTCACTGCTGCCACCTGTCATCTGGGTCAATATTTACTCAGCTGCAATGAGGTGACCAGGATATGAAGTTCTTCAAAGTCCAATTATTCTTTTTTTCTCTGCAATTTACTGCCACAACAGATGGTGGAAGTGCTAAAAGAAAATAAATACAAAAGTTAAACAACAAGTGAAGTGGAATGACTAGAATCCCAATTGGGCTCAGGCTGGGAGGTGTGCTACCTGCATACCTGAAGCCTTCAAATCAGATTAAAAAAAAATTCCCCATCCCAAATAACAATGATCCTATGCCACTGGCCAGTGGCCACTATGACAGTCATAACCACACATGCCACAACCAAGCCTGCCAGTTGCCACCAAATGCCTTGTAACTAACAGAAGTTTGCAACCTATTTTGACAAATGTGCCTTCATATCTCAGTGAAGTTTTTCATGGCATTTGTTTTTTCATATATGTAATTTTTCAGGTTTTATCAATTGTCATATTGGTAGTGGTGAATTTATGGTGATTCTTTTTATTTTGAATTAATATTTTGGGGATATCATTATAATGCCAAGTCAGGCTGAAATCCTGAGAGAATTGGTAAGTTACTTTCTACTGTTAACAATATTAATACCAAGTCCTAATTTCCAAATACCGTATATATACTAAATATATACCTACTAATTTAGATGACCTATTTGAAGAAAAAAATTTTTCTTGATATTTCTTTTGGGGATGTTCAAAGCAATTGTGATTGTATCCCAATTTCATCAATATGGAATATTGGGCAGAAACTTGACTGCATGTAAAAATGATAGTTTAAACTTTCAAGGGAAATTTTCCATTTAAAATTTTCAGGCAAAAATAAAAGTGCCATTTCTCTTATTTTAATGAAAGAAATCAGTCAAGGGTGATGAAAATAAGTGAAATTAAATGTAAGCAGCACTTTTTAAATTTTAATTTTACTTATTAAATTGATTTCACTTATTTTGAGCAAAACATTTTAAATCATTAAGCTTGGGCAAACTATTATTATTTTAAAGCATGGGCATTATGCATCATTCATATGAAACATCTGAGTGATTTTATAGAATGGATTGTATTTAGTTGTGGAATTTATGTACCTCATGAGCTTTGAATAGAGCTTTCCAGACGTTTTTGCAGCGGGAAGATTCTTGCTACTGTCAAATGGGGTAATAAGGGATGGGTGGGGTAAATTGGGAAAGTCCTCTATCATGGCATAAAAAGGTTATAGCAGCAAAACTAATTAAAATATTGCAAAACTAAAAATAGTGGTGTGAACTTGAACAGTTTTCTATCTTTGTAGCATAGAGGAAGTTAAAAAATTATAGATTTACTAGCTCTAAAAAATCATTGAAAAAAAATGTTAAAAAGTGATATCTTGAAAAAGTACCTACTTCTGTTGATATCTGTAGTAAAAAAAATCCACCATATTTAAAGATTTGGTTAAAAAAATCTTGCAGACAGGCGTTGGCTTGAAAACTTTACTGATGGTATTTGTGTACCTCAATCCAAAACAAAATGGCAGCAATTTCCACAAGAAGGGGTATTAAGGGATACCCCTCAGGTAATAAGGGACACCTCTAAAACACAGTGACAGCAGAACCTTGGTTAGCAAAGGCTCTGGTTAAAAAATCAGTTAATGACAAAGAATTCTGATTAAATTTACCTCCCTCAGCAAAAAAATTTCTCTTAACAAAACATTAATGCATCACTTATCATCACAGAATTGTGCAAAGATCGTCATAGATAGAATTGTGCACTGGGCAAGATAATATGAAAAGTAATTGACCTAAACTATGATTGGTTTCTGCAAAAAAATATGCAAGTTTCTGCAACTAAAATATTCTTTTCTATTTCAGGTATGTTTTTTATGATCTTTTTTACTATAGTGAATTAATTCACTTGACCCAAGTTAAGTGTTTTACTTGACCCAAGTAAAGTTTTAAAATGTTAGGTATAGAACAGAAAAAGTTTTTGTTAATAAAAAATGGACATGGTAATATCATCAATAAAGGAATAATATACGTTTAAAAACTAGTACTTTTTAAAGACAACACTTCCAAAGAATCCAGTATCTCCAATCTCACAGATGTACAATGAATTTCTCATCTAATTTTTGAAAATTAGTGTCCCAAATTATTCCATTCCTAGGGATAACTTGGGACCCTTTCTTTGCTTGTGGCACCTTATGAATAGCATATGGAATTTCAGAGATGCCAAAGATAGCCCTCACAAAGATCTTTAAAATGAGCCCAAACTCGTTTATGAAATGTTTCATGGTAAAAAGTTAGCTTCAAAAAAACAGAAGAAGCATCCCTTATTACCCCTTTTGATGGTAGATGAGTAATGTCCTATTTGATTCTTAACAAAAATGCAAAATCAAGCCACAAGATTCTGAAGCCATAAAGAATATGTCACTGTGCCATGACCTTGGAGCTGTGAGATATTAATATCAAGTAAGAGGTACTTTTCCAATCTTGAATTTGTATTAGTATTTGAGTTCAATTAGTGTGTTATAATGAAATAATATGCATTTAAAAATTAATTCTTAAGGACAACACTTCTATAGAATCCAGTGTCTCTGATGTTGCAAATGAACAATGAATTTCTATTTTTATTTTCAGATGATAAAAAATGCAAGTTTGTTTATTAATAAAATTTTTTGAAATTTACAAAAATTATTTCTTCTGTCAGTTGAATCATGCATTGTCTCCAACTTTACGCAAGTGTGCAAAATTTCAGATTGATTGGACTGATAGAAGTGTGTTAAATATCAATTACAAGATTTGTAGCAGACAAACAAACAACAAGAAATGAAGTTGAAGAGGAGTGTTTTAGTTTTAGATGGCAGAATTTGCTGATTTACCATCCAACGGGGTAATAAAGGTCGGTTTTGTGCATTTATTTACAACACTTCTCTTTCACTTCATTTCTTGTTTGTTTGTTTGTCTGCTACAAATCTTATAGGTAATCAAAATTTAACACACTTCTACCTCTCCCATCGATCTAAAATTTTGCTCACTTGCACAAAGTTAGAGACAATGCATGAATCAATTAACAGAATAAATAATTTGAAAATTGAAAAAATATATATTTTTTTTAATATCAAAAATATGTGTTTAAACATTACTTTTTAAAGACAACGCTTCAAAATAATGCAGTGTCTCTGATGTTACAAAAGTACAATGAATTTCTAATTTTACTATCAAATATAAAAAATTATATATAAATTTAATTTTTAAAACTAAAAAATTCAATTTTTTGAAATTATTTATTCTATCAATTGATTCAACCATTGTCTCTGACTTTATGCACATGTGCAAAATTTCAGTTCAATTGGACAAGTAGAAGTGTGTTGAATATTGATTATAAGAAATTTAGCAGACAAAGTTATTTATTCAATTTTTTTAATATTAAAATTAGATTTTTTTAAGTTTTCAAAATTCTTTATTCTGTCAATTGATTCGTGCATTGTCTTCAACTTTACAAAAGTGTACAAAATTTCACATTGGTTGGAGAGGTAGAAGTGTTATAAATATCAATTATAAGATTTGTAGCAGACAGACAGACTAACAAACAAACAAACAAACAAGAAGTGAAGTTAAAGAGAAGTGTTGTAAAAGAGTGAAGAAATAATTTTTCTGATTCAAATCTTATAATCAATATTCAACACGCTTCTACCTGTCCAGTCGATCTGAAATTTTTCACACTTGCATAACATTGGACGCAATGCATGAATAAATTGACAGAATAAATCATTTCCAAATTGTATTTCTTTAATATGAAAAAGTAAAAATTAATTTTATTCCTTAACTGAAAATAAAATCAGAAATTCAATGTGCATGTGTAATATTGGAGACACTGGATTCCTTAGAAGTGTTGTCTTTAAAAAGTAATTTTTAAACGCATATTATTTGTTAATAGCTTCTTACCATGAAACATTTCATATACAAGTTTAGGCTCATTTTATAGCTCTTTGCAAGGGCTCTCATATAGCATCATCCAAAAAATTTCACATGCTATTCGTAAGGTACCAGACGCAAAATAAAAGCATCCCAAATTACCCCTGTGAATGGGGTAATACAGGACACTTGAAATAAAACTTTATTTTAAAACATTTGAAGCATGCAGAGTGTACTCATCTATTACTAACAGTAATCTGAAGTCCTCCCTTTCCTTTGTAGATGATGTAAAAGTAGAATAAATGACATTTTCTGTGATTTTTACTTGTTTTTCCTTTATTGATCTATTACCATAGCCATACATTTTCGTATTATTGATCTGATATTACCGTATCCATGAACATGCCATTGAGCATTTACAATGACCTTGTTCACTGTAAGCTTCAATCAGCAGCCATATAGCACTTTTCTGTATCTGTAAACTTACATAATGGCTTGTAATTTCACACTATTTTAATTAGGTTAAGTGAATTCACTACTGTCAAATGGGGTAAAAAGGGACGGGCAGGGTAATAAGGGACAGTCCTCCAAAATTTTGTAGAAATGTTGTAGCAGGTAAACTAATTAAAATATTGCAAAACTAAAACTAGTGGTGTAAAGTTCAACATTTTTACTATCTGTGCAGCATAAAGCAAGTTAAGAAATCATACATTTATTACCTCTAAAAAATCCCTGAAAAAAAGTGTGAAAAGTGAGATTTTGGAAAAGTACCTCTGCCAAGGTCTGTAGCAGAAAAAATATTTGTCATATTGAAAAATTTTACTTACATAAAAGTTGCACACTGGTGTTGGCTTAAAAATGTGATTGACAGAATTTGCATATCTCATTCCAAGAAAAAATGGTGGCCATTTCCGCATAATGGGGTAATAAGGGACACCCCCCCCCCCGGGGTAATAAGGGGCACCTCTAAAATTGCATTTACACTTTACAGTAGAACCTTGGTTAGCAAAGGCTCCAGTTAATGAAAATAATCAATTAACAACAACGAATTTTGATTACATTTACCTCGCTCAGTGAAAAAAATTTCACTTAATAAAAAATTACTGCATCAGTCATCACAAAATTGTGCACAGAATATCACAGATAGAATTGAGCACTGGGCAACAAAGAATGAAAAGTAATTAACTTAAATTATGATTTATTTCTCCAAAAGATATGATGGTTGTCACTAAAATATTCCTTCCTGTTTCAGGTATGTTTTTTACAATCTTTTTTGTTATAGTGAAATCACTTGACTAAGTTGACTCAATTAAAATTGTGTGAAATTACAAACCATCCTGTAAGCTTACAGATACAGAAGAAATGCTACATGGCTGCTGAAATGAAGCTTGCAGTGAACAAGGTCATTGTCAATGCTCAATGGCATGTCCATGGATACATTAATATCACATTAATAATACGGTAATGTATGGATAAGGTAATATTATATCAATGAAGATAAACCAAGTAAAAATCACAGAAAATTTCATTTATTCTACATTTACATCATCTACAAAGGAAGAGAAGAACTTCAGAGTACTGTTAGTAATAGATGAGTACACTCTGCGTGCTTCAAATGTTTAAAATTGAGTTTTATTTCAAGTGTCCCTTTTTACCCCCATTTTCAGATTAATTCAGGAGCCTTTTATATTGCGTCTAGCACATTACAAATAGCATATGGAATTTTTTTGGAGATGCCATACAATAGCCCTTGCAAGTTGCAAAGACCTTTAAAATGAGCCCAAACTTGTTTATGAAATGTTTCATGGTAAGAAGTTATTAACAAAAAATGCTCAAAACCGTCCCTTTTTACCGCGTTTGACGGTATAACAAAAAAGATCATAAAAAATGTACCTGAAACAAAGGAATATTCTGGTGACAACCATCATATTTTTGGGTAAATAAGCCATAGTTTACGTTAATTACTTTCCATTTTATGTTTCCCAGTGCACAATTCTGTCTATGACATTCTCTGCACAATTTAGTGATGACCAATGAGCGGTAATGCATTAATTTTTTGTTTAGTAAATTTTTTTTTGCTGAGCAAAGTGAATATAATCAAATTTTTTTTTTTGTTAGTTGATTTTTTGTTAACTGAGGGCTTGTTGAGGCTCATACCTTTGGCATTGTGTCTGATTCTTCTTTTTTTTTTTTTGTGGCTCATACTGATACCAGTTCTGACATGCAGCAACTTATCATTGAAAGTCTTTTTATTCCATATAGGGAGTAAGTGATGTTCCTGGCGGGGCTCAACTGGCTGGTGGTGTGCCCAACATCAATGCCAATGACCTTGGAAATGATGTAAGTTGATTTCCAGATGACCTATATAATTGCTGATTATAATATATATTCTCTATGGTGTTTTGTAGAGAGTGATTTTAATTTAAATTTACTTTTTTTTCAGCCCACCATGGAAGGCATGTGGGCGATGAAGGCAATGGAGCATGCAGAAATACACTTTAATGTAAGTATCAGCAGGCCTGGCTCTGTTTTTCCTTCACTGCTATCTTTGTTAGTTGATCATTTGTTCATGATGCAACTGCTGTAATCATCAACAATCTCGTACATTTGAATACTTATATATTCAGGTGTCGTCTTGTTCTCCTCAACTCGGAATAATTGTATGCATTGAATGTATTTTAAATGAATTGCACCAAGATCTGAATTGATTGATTATACATCAAGCCTTGTTTATCAGTACATTATTTTTTTTCTGCAGATTTTGTGTGTTGTTGACCCAAAGTCGTTGAAACTTACCCAAAAAGATCAGATGTTGTATGATGCCTTCAGAGAAGAATTCCCAAACTTCAATGTTGAATGTCTTGATGAAAATGCCTTAAAAAGTAAAGAAGCTAAGGAGAAATGGAGACCTTTCATGAACAATCTCAAGACTGAAGTGGAAGATTTCAGCTTTGCTACTCTGGTGAGGCCATCAAAAGCATACATTTTCTTTCCATCTCTGTGTTTGAATGTACAAATTTCCTAATTCACATAAAAATATGACTTTCCTATTATCTTGTCTGCATTTTTGTTGGCTAAGTTTACCGAATTTTACAAAAAAAGGAAGTAATATCTATTCATAATGTTAAACCAAATTCAACAAACAAACTCTGATCACATTATTTTATTAACACAATATAGATTTCTTTTACCTTTTGACTGTAATTACATGGTTTGTGACAGGTCCGCATCAAAGCCAGTGGGGAGTACAACGAGGAGAACACCATACTCGTGACCCGTATCCAGTTTTTATGCATTGAAATCGCACGTAACAGGGAAGGCTTCAATGATAACATAAGACACGAGTTTAAACCCAAACCTCGTTCCAAGGCGACATAATATCCCAGATAAAAGATTATGTACTGAAAACGTGTTTTTTATATTTTCCACAATACCTCTTGATGCAATTATATTTGTTTTCTTGCATCACAAGTGTTGCAAGCGACTTAGCTACAGCCGTGTAATGCATTGGTCAAGTTTTTTTTTAAATATATATCAGTAAAATTCCTAGGTACTTCACTTATGTGAGCACTTGAGGGAGTCTCATAGATCTCTAGTATTTCTTGTTTTGAAGTCTTCCCGAGCCTTTCTTCAGAAAATCTTTCATACAATTCATGTTTTTTTTTTAAATTTGCAAAGAATTTTTCTTGCTTCACAGGGATGAGTAAGAATTATTTTTTTTTAATCATTGCCTTCGCGCATTCCTGCTAATTTAATACCTCTCCAATACCGTTCTTTTAGTTGAGAGTGGGTGACGGTAATAAATTTTCAGCACTGCTCCATCAGAATCACTTGTATGAATAGGTGCTCGTCTCATAAGATGAGCCTCAAGTATGTTCAGCTTATGATTTCTTTTAGCTTAGATGCAGCGGAACAGATGTGGACGAACTTCTTCCCCTCGTCGGAGGAAATATGTTTGAAATTTTACGCGGACTCGAAACTATCTTGTTTTGTGGTAAATCTTGATCTATTCTGGATCGTGCTAGGTTTGTTCTTTATATTCCCGAACCTCACTGTCAACTGAAGTTGTCACCTGAAGTGAAGTCAACCGAAGTTGTGTCCCATGATTTTGTGTTATTATGCCTGTGATTGTTCGAAATTTGCGTCCGGTTTACTGTTACACGTTTTGCTCCACTCCTCTTTCGTGTTATTGCGATCTGGCCAGCTCATGAGAAAACTCACCTAACTGAAATGCTAATCAAATCACAGTTGTTTGAAAACACTACATTTGAGGGTTCAGTTGCAATGAAAAGGAATTTTTAATGTTCGAAAAAGTTTATGTCGGGCCCATGATTTATAACTCCTCAGCAGGTTCATGCATTTCGGTGAAAAATCATCTGGCTTTAAATTAAACTTGGTATAGTAGTAGAACTAGTAGAATGGTTTGCTAGCTCTTCTATCAAGCTATTTCGCACCGCAGGTCAAAAATCAACATCATCAGCAAGTCGGACGGCAGCAACTATTGCAAATTTCTCAAATCATTTATCCGTAAGGGGCATGAGGTTTCAAGTAGCCAGGTCACTGAAGCTGACAAAAAAGAAGCAGCTAGCATCTCGAAGTGACAGACAGGACTGCCGAAAAGCAACAGAAACGAAGAACCTCGTACAAGAGATTGTTCACATGAAACGACGGTCGTCCGTACGAGAGAGACTGGGGAGAGAAATGAAGGGAATCATACCTACACAATAACTGAGACCCGCACGCAGACACCGCGAGCTCAGTGGTGTGGTGCACAACAGTGAACTTGAGAGCGCGAGATACCATGGGACTTCTGACGAGTACAGACCCGCGTCAGAAGACCTTCCTGAGGGAACTCCTCTGATAAAATTCTCGGGCGAATGAAGGAAATTCTATGGTACTGATTATATCGTACTCTGCGCACTAAACGTGGAGGTGATGCCGAAATCCCAATTAGGTACATCACGCGGACGCCCATATCCTCCAATTCAGATAACCAGTAATGAGACTTTAACAATGTCAAAGATCTGCATCAGCGAACGCCGACCCTTCTCACCACTCGTTAGCGGGCCCCATTCTGCTTAAATTTAGGTTTTGTAGGTCCGAACACAGCAGGTCGTGGGCAGGGGTAAATTCATTATATTTTTTTATAATTAGGTTGAAGATTTGTGCTGTAAGGAGCACCTCCTGCTTAACCAGACTTCGTTCGTACCGCAAACATGGACCCTTTTTTTTAAGAATCGTACCCACGACGAGGATAAAGCAACTCCGCAACTGGGTGCATCAAATTTCCTGCTCAAATTTGAATAATATGTTCCACTTCAAACTGATACAGGTATCGGATCAATAATATGTATAAATTATGCTCACCTAAAAGTTGACTTCGGAAACCTGGATAATGAGAATTTCCATGCCTCGAGCAAGTAATTATTGAGGAACGACTGCACAGAACTGGTTTGCCGACAACGAACGTCCCAGTTACGATTCTAGGCTCATCCCATTTAGTTTTCTTTGAACGGCTGAACGCCTTGTGGTCTCCAAAACTTGAAAAGGACAACAATTTATTCGAGAGTGTTCAAAGACGCACAACAAGTATAATACCAGGCTTAATAGGCGAGTATTATGAATAAATATGAGTAACCACGAAGCTTAGAAGTCTCTGTTTTAGAGGTATGCGTGGCGAAACTAATTAAGTACCGCATACAAGAATATTTGAGGTTTATGCAAGGTCCCAGAAAGTTTCGTAGAATTTAAAATAAGAACCTGTACCAGGGGCAACGGTTATAATCTAAAGAAACTGCGGTGCAAATCTTTCATGCGACAACACCTCTCCTCGTTTCGAGTCACCAACATGTGGAACGCCCTCTTTGATGACATTGTTGACGCTGCGAGTATGAACGGGTTCATGAAAAGACTAGACAAAGCTATGCAAGAGCACATGTTCACTTGTTCAAGTTGTTCAGTGTGCTCGTGGGTGGCCTGGTGGTTACAGTTCAGAATACCAGTATTGGAGCAGAGAGGTGCGGGTTCGATCCCAGCTCTGTGTGTCAGTTTCAGGTCAGAATCGGCAAGAAGGCCGAGCGATTAAGCACAACAGAATTGTAGCAGTGAGTTGCGAGTTCGAGACCGCAAAATGCTGTGAATGTTCTGCGATGTCAAGAATCGGCGACAGGCCTACCGCCTAATAAACGCTGAAACCGCTACTATTATTATTATTATTCAGTCTTGAAATGCTTAACACCCTACGGAACTAGTGAAAGTTCAGTTACGATTTCAAATGTTGAAAAGATCAGTCAATATGCCAGTTTTTAGACATTTGAACGAGCCACGAAAAGTACATGAATCGGCGACAGGCCTAGCTAGGCTTATTCTTCAACGTCGAAGAGACTTCAAGAACTAGCTCTGTGGTGCGTGTCATTATGGTTTTGCACTTGCATATCGTATTAATAAAATTTCTCGTTGATTTCAGGTAAGTGATGATATGTCGCCCTCAACGGCCGCTTCCTGCATTCTTCAAGTCGTTTTTTCGGCTTCAAGTCACATCACGCCAAAAATAACATTATGGTTGAAGTTGTACTAAGGTCCTTCTGTGTTTAATAATAATGGCGTTTTCAGCGTTTATTAGGCCATAGGACTGTCGCCGATTCCTAACATCGCAGAACATCCACAGCTTGTTGCGGTCTCGAACTCACAACTCACTGATTCAAATTCTGCTTTGCTTAACCGCCCGGCCTCCTCGCCGATTCTGACCAGAAACTGGCGCACAGAGCTGGGATCGAACCCGCGCCTCTCTGCGCTAATCTTGGTACTCTGAATTGTAAGCACTGGGCGACCCTGCACATTTGAGAAACACATTTCCAATAAATTTATTTGCCATTTGCTCTGTTTGTTATTAGGTTAAAATTTGTGCGCACTGCCTAGAAAAATGTATGAGATCATAACCATACCATTGTACGACAAAAATACCGAATAACTTTATTTTTTCCTTATTTATTGCATTAGTTGTCTAAAATCGCGTACAGTAAGGTTCAACTGAAACTGATGGTCCGCAGAACTGGCTCAGTGAACACCGTCATTGTAGAAGTCTAGAAGACCTCGTTCCGCTTTGGCATGTTGTTAGTAATGTACGGGGTAAAGAAACTGGAATACCTAAGTAGGTCGAAATCGATGAAATTTTATGTGTTTATTTTAAAAATCTTTCGTAATATTTTGTCATCGTTCTTAAATTAAGGGATTTTAATGTTAGTTGTTTACTAATAATTGAACTTGACCGCTTCAACCAACCACTTGGAATTTGGAAAGTTGAAGCTGAAACTTGAATGTTTGAAGCATAGCATAAACTACCTAGCTAGTAGCTACTAGACAAAAACTTGAAAGTGGAAATGAACCTAAGGTCATAAGATGTTTTAATGTACATCGTACAATTTACTTTGCATGAAATTTTTGGGGAGGAAACTATGATGATGATGTCTCATCAATCATCATCTCATGTTCTCATCATTCTCATGTCAGACAGTCAGATCACTCAGAATCTCTGATCAGTCTGATTCAGTCAGATGTGCAAATGAGACTTTTTCAGTTCCTGAATGATATTGATGACAGATGAATCTTGACTGAGTTATTGCCAAATGCCAAGTGAGTTATTATGGCACCAATAATGACGCCCGGACGGCAATAACAAACTTGATAATGGTTCAGGAATGGGAAGCATCAACTCTCATTTATGTTTCTTCAAAATAAGGCAACCAAAATTTAAAATTGGCTATTTCACTAACTTCATTATGACTCTATCCCAGTGCCACTCGGGCCAGTGGTTCCCAAACTTTTTCAGGCTGGCGCCCCCCTTGGCTCCCCAGTGCAGGATGGAATTCTAAAATTTACAGTTCATATATTATTCCCGATACACCCCACTGTGGACAACGTGTCAGTCATGTCGCCAAGATCGCCCTTTCAAGCTCAAAATTTCGCCATTGTCATTGTAGATCTGTCGCCCAGACTGGAATAATGGGCAGGAGTCACCCGTACAAGAGCAAAAATCACCCATCAACGAGGGTCAATTTTACCCGTGGCCATGGTTAATTTCACCCGTAGCCAATGGCCATGGGTTTCTTCACCCGTGGCCGGTGGCCATGGATAAATTTAACCGCGCCCGTAGAGCTACAATTTCA